CCCATTGTTTGTGAATCTCAGGGCTCACTTCCAACTTACCAGACAACGGTTTGGGACAGCAGAGACGACGAAGCTTCGCATCTAAGGCTGCCATCTTCTTGATCTCGTCAGTGGCCTGCATGGCCAAATATATCACTATATGGTGGAAATTTGATAGTTTGTCCTCTCCACACGCTGTTTGGTCAGAAACAAAAGAACCCAAAAGAATGTTGAGAACATGGCTGGGGTACACCAAGCCTTCTTGCGTTCGTCAACCGTAGTCTCATCAGCTGGTTCCTTCCAGACCAGGGCCCATCACTGGATACCCCAGATTTTGGTGGGAAGGGATTGGACAAATCCACTCACATACATATATATATATGTGTGTGTGTGTGTATATATATATATGTATATATATATAGAATTATATAATATGTGTTTACATATAGATACATAAAACATAATTTCCATTGGAAAGGGTCCTCGGTGTGAAAGGGGTCGGTCCCAAAATTGAAGCCATTTGGGGGCGCGCGCGCGGACCCCATTCACCTGGAGGACCCCTTTCAAGGGAAATCTTGTTATAAACACACATACATACATACAATACAGTACAGTACATTACATTACAGTACATTACATTACATACAAACATACATACATACATACATACACATACATACACTTAAATATGTATATATACAATTATATACATACAGATATGACTGATGTTTGTGGAGCCTCCTCATCATCTGTGTGCTCATCAAGGTCGCTTCGGGCAGCCACCTGCTCTTCGGGATCCTGGACATCCTGCACATGTTGCATGCATAGGCAAGGGGGTGAACCAAGAGGAATGCTTACAAAACATCATCTAAAAGTAGACAAGGTTTCAATTGTTTTTCAACGATATCAGTCCTTGTCAAACTTTGGACTTTTGTCTAGTGGTGTTGCCAATCTCTGGGGTGTATCAGCTGAAGCACATGCTGGAGACCCATGGCTTTGAACTGGGGAATGTGTCTTCCCACCAGCTGCAGGTGTCCCTGGGGCAGCTGAGCTCTCATTCTTCAACTTCTCCAGGCGCGCCTTGGCAACCTTGGCAGTGGGTTGGACTGAATGGTTGTAAATTGGGGAATGGCCAAAAAAAAATATATGGGCAGCTTAGGAACGGCAAGGATATCTCCGTACTCAAGTTTTTCCTTCTCCTTCTGGTCATTCAAGAAAGATAAGCCACGCATGAGTGAACCAGAGGACCATTGCTTGGAAAGGAATGGCCCCTTTTCAGGGAAACGTGCAGGGGATGATGACATGATCTACTGAATCTATATCCCTAAATGACGCTTCTCCACCCTGTTGAACCAGCCACATTGCCAGAAACAAGAGTGAATGAACAATGATTGATAAATCACCGATCGACAAAATTTTCCTGAAGTTCAATTTTTCTGCAATTTCCTTTTGTCATGCCACATGAGCCGTTCACCTGTGGCTGCACCTCAAAAAACACGTTCTATGGTCAACGTGCTGAAGTTGCCATTGCCACTGCCTCAGTGCATAATCGTAGATTTACGATCATTTACGAATTAAAAGCCGATTGGGACAGAATTTTTGGCAATGCCCTGACCCATGAAAGTAGCCTATTTTAGGAGTAGATTTCCTATGGTTTTTTACGGCACTAGTATGGGTATTTATGGCACTTTACATCATTTTGGTCACAGTGCCCATAATCAGGGGTTTTTTCAAAAAACACCCATAAACGTAAATTCAAAACCCGTAAACGTATATTTTTCAAAAACACCCATAAACGTAAATTCAAAACCCGTAAACGTATATTTTCCTGGGCCTACAGCAAAGCCTGCAATCGTAAATTGAATTGGTCAAACCCTATTTGACCTCACTGGGGAAAAGACACTTCCACTCCTCTGGAAGTTTCAAATGGGAATTCCCGTAGAGGTAGCGTAGCACCTCCTCCATCTGGGCATCGGCCCACAGGTCGGCGATGGCATTGTAGGGCATGGTCGATGCATCGAAAGGTTGGAGGAGCTCTGGAGAAGGAACCTGCAGTCAGTTGGAACATGCTTTTTCCCAGGGGACATATGAACAAATGAACTTGTATGAGTAAGAACATGCCATATTTCATTCCTTTGTATATATAGTTCAACTCTTTTTGACCAGGGGTGACAAGTTTATTTGGAGCGAGGTGCATACTTTGGGTGCAGTGGAGGCCCCCTTTCCTTCTTAAGGTGCTTAACTGAAGCAGCAAATTGCCTTCCATATCCCATAGGATATTGCCTCAGATTGGCAAAATACTGAGGAGAAATCAAAAGATCAAAAGAATCAAATCATTGCGACTTAAAATTGACTAAGTATAGGGCTGACTTGATTTGAGCTTGGCATTTCCCTTATACCTCTTCCGACCATGTCGGTCGAAATAGACATCTGCCAGCTTCTGCTTGGCACTGCGTGCTTTCATGCGGGCATACTTCTTGGCAGTGGCAAAATAGCGAATGCCAGAACTGTTGGACCATAAAGTTGTTCGTTTTGGTGATTTCCCTCCCCATCGAGACATCCAAAAGGATTGCCGGAACACCTCAAATTTCAACAAGTTGCCCAGGTGTCCAAAACCAATAACCATATATTACAGGTGTCCAAAACCAGTATAGACACATTTTGCCCATGATCGATTCCAACAAAAATGTTCTGTAAGTGCCATGGCACTTTCACATACCTGAGTATCATCTGGAATCTGGGGTGCCGAAACACCAAAGAGGAATGTGGTTGTTCCAGAACCCATGTTCCACCTTTGGCCATGATGAGGAGGATCGCCAAGCATGTCCTGCCAGAGCGCTTGGGCAGGCAAAGCAGCGGGGGTGGCAAGTGGCTATTCTAAGTGCAAAAAAGCAACACATAAGAAATCAACACAAGATTCGTTTTACATTTTTTTCGATTGAGATTTTGGTTTGTGATACTCACAAATCAACATTCACCCTTCCCATGACTTGTAAAGAAATAAGGAACTGCATGGGTCCTTGCTGTCAATAAATTTGATATCGCAACTGATGGGCTGTCGGGATCTCCAAGAGGTAAGAAATAATGTCGTCGTGTTGAACCACGTGAAATTGCTACCCATGTGGCGCATAGCAAAGCAATGGATACAACCAAATCGTCGTCCTTGCCTGACATCAATGTCACCAAAAGTAACCTGAGCAGATAAGGTTGTTACCAATTACTGGCATGTTGAACTTATGACAATCCTATATATATATATAATTATACATATATATATATATACACATACAAGAACCACAGAGGAAAAACAGCAACATTATATAAGGGACGCAAATCCACTTGGCGTCGTTAAATCCAGAGGGTTGCCCTTGCACATGCGTTTGTTGGGCTGAAGCATTCGAGCTTGGATCCAAGGGTTCCAATCTACGATGTCCAGGCTGCATGTGGATAATCCAGATGCCCGGAGTGCACGGCTAAGAGTTCCAACACCCGAAAACATCTCAATAGCTTCATACTCCTGAAAAAAGGGATTTCTGCAAAGTTAAATCACTCCTTTTTGGAAACAGGTTAGCTGTTTGAACCAATAATTGTTCCCGACTGCAATCCCTGCCAAGCCTGACCCCAATCAATGCCCTCAGTGAAAGACAATAAGATCACGGCAAAGATAAGCACCTGGGCCACAAGAATTCCAAATTAAGCTGATCAATCTTCAATAATAGATTCGTTTCTGAATTGTGCTACACACCATGTCAGGCGAGTTTCTTCTGGGACACCCCAATGAAGAAGGCGGTGCATCAAGCGCATCAGCGAGGCTCGTTCCATCACCGGCATCCCAGCTACAGTTGAGGCCAATTTTAGATGACCTCTATAGAATCCGAAAGGTTTGTGCAAGAGGCCAGCACTGAGAAAATTAAAGAAAGTCGACATCATTCTGAAAGTTAGGACTACAACAATTCGATCGTAATTTGTTTCACAATGTTTAGAAGATTTTTCGACACCCTCTTTCAGACGGGAACTGGCTGCAATGGAAGTCATGGGGGTCATGGCGAATTGCATGCTGTCACAATCTGGTGAATACTGTCCCACACTCACACCCAAGGGCAGCATACCCCACCCCAATGCACAGAGAGGGGGAAGCGCACCGACAGGTTGTGGAGGACGACGTTTGATCCTTGCACCATACATCTCCTGGCATGTCCAGGTGCGCTGGGCCGGTGAGACACCTTCCAGGGTTGATATATATATATATATATTTATTTATTTATATATATATATATCAACATGTAACACTTGGATTTGGACGTGTATACATATATATATATATCGATCTATCTATCTATCTGTCGATCTACCTATATACATGTATATCGATCTATATATCTGAAAGAGAGAAAGAGAGAGAGAGAGAGAGGAGAGAGATTATCCATGCATGTGTTGCAACATGTAGTGCAAATCCTTTGAGGCAAAATCAAGTGCAGGCGAACTATATCTGTTTTTCCAATGTGCCTGCGAATGGTGCATCGCATGTCACGGAAACACGGCCTGCCTCCCTACTCAAAGGCCTTTTCAAATGACAGATTCTGCCAATAACGGCACCCAATCGGATTTTGCTAAAGCTTTCAGGGCAGTGACGCCAGCGCACATGAGAGAACACAGAATGAGATATATTGATGATTTCAATGCATTTAAAATCTTACAGGCTCACACCCCGCATGTGGCATGTTCAACTGCCAACACCCCCAAAAGTTGGCAAGGGTATCCCTGCCAAAATGACATCCCGCTGGAAATGTCATGAACATCACTGCCATCAGCACAGGGAAGAAGCTGCCAAAGATCTCGGTGGACCATACCTGGGCCAAGGAACGGATGCGGAGGGGAGGGGCTCGGCAGACTCCAACAAGTTTGGGTATTTTGGCATGTCTTTTATATTGTATTAGATTGTTGATCATGCGTGATGTCTATAAAACATGCGGCATAAAAAAAAGGCTGATTCAGATGAGTTTCCTGGATGTGTTCACCTTTTACTTTGACAACTTGGATCTTTTGACCTTCTTTTTGCAAGACTTCGTGGGCTTGCGCTTCTTCTCAATCCCACCCGGACCCCCTGCCACAGCAGGCTCCACCTCATTACTGCCAGCACTGTTGCTGGCGGCCCCCTCCTCAGCACGGACTTGCGCTGCGTTCCGTCCACGAAACTTTGGGTTCTGACAAGTCTTGCAGCCACCGAAGATGAATCGGCAGGCCGCACACCCAAACACCTGGTCTGCCAAGATTTCATAGCGCCATTTTCGTTTTCCAAGATCCACCCTCTCCTGGTAGACCTTGCCATGGCTAGCCCCACCTTCATCTGGCTGATGCGTCTCGCTGGTTTTCAACGAGTCAGACTTTGAAGTCCTCTTTCGTTTGTTTCCAGTCTTAGGCTCAGATTCTGTGTTTCTGGTGACTTTCTTTGTTGGGCTTCCCAATTTCTTAGATTTCCCCAACTTGCTCCTACGTCGGGATAGTGTCACCGGTTCAGAAACTTTCTCATGCCCTGCCCTCCTTTTCTTGGCACCTGGCTTGCGGCCTTTCTTCAAAGTCTTGCGCTTGCCAGTCCTCATAGAATTCTGCATGAAAGGTGTCACCCGCGGTTTCTCCACCTCAATCGGACCCCATTGTTGGAAACAAAATGTTTTTCCACCCATGCTACCTCTATATTTATATTATATATATTACAATATATGTTATCTTATATATAAGTTATCATCTTTTATGCTCATGTGCGTGTGTGTGTATTGTATCGCTCATGTGTTCAGAGGAACTTTTGTTATTTTTGTGACATTGATGCATGGTGCAATGATGCAAATGCCGATGTCCTTTATGTTGACATGTATAAAGACAAACATCCGGGTGACTGACATGGAACTTTGTGCCTTCTCCGGGGTCACCTCTACTGGCTTCGTTGCTGTCGGGCTTGGAGTCATAACCTCCTCCAATGGCTGGGTGTCCACCTGCCCAGAGAGCGGCAATACAATAATACCACACCATCATTTTGGAAAATCTATTGCATGGAACAATTGACCCCCACCCAGCCAAAAACCTTGCCTGGTCAGGATTCACCGAAGGGGGCAAGGCTTGAAGAGCACCTGAAGAGGAGCGGACGGGGGAGGAACTGCGGGAATGTTTGGCTGGAGTGCAGGTGAGTTGCAAGGTGGCTTTTTCTCCGGCTTCTTATCCACAGGCTTGCCAGGGTCGTCAACCCTTAGTGGATGTTGGGCAGGATGACCGGTATAATTAACTTGAAGCTATCCCCTATCCTTCCAGATATTTTTGAAAAATCTGGGATCCGAGCGTCAGCTCATTGATCTGCTTGATGATGTCATGCAGCTCCTTCTCCTGATCCGTCGTCATCACCACATCGATGCCCATGCCTTTGAGCAAAGCATTGGGCGGGCTCAGGGTATCCACAGACGTGGTCGATTCAGCTCTAGCCAAGGAAGCATTGGCACCCTTTCTCTCAAGCTTTGACCCCTTGGGTGGATCAACATGGTTTTCATCCTCATAGCAGTCGGAATCATGGTTGACTTCACCTTCGATGTTCAAAGGGGGTGGCTCTGTGAGAGAGTCAGCAAAGGCCCATTCTGAGCGAAGCTTTTCGATGATGGAAAAGAGTTCTCGCACCTTCTTGTCCTGCAAGTGGTTTTGAAGGTGCATATATATATATAAACATATATTATCATGTTATATAAAGACTCTTTCGTCGCTGAACTGCAGATTTAAAAAGATAAACCGTTTTCATGATATTTTTGAGAACCCTGGTCCCGGGGCTTCTGCCCGCGTCTGACACTGTCCCGCTGCCTCTTGAATGCGAATGTGTAAAGTCGCCTTAAATCCCAAGCATCTTGATAAGCTTCATGCTTCCTGCTGCTGGGCTCATGCTGGCAAAGCTTGAACAGCTTGGTCACCTTCCAAGGGCCGATGTCCCAAAAGTATTTAAAAACTTGGGGATACAGGGCAACTACATGGAGTGTATTTCCCCACCTGCCAGGTGAGGGTTGTTACATTTTATGTCAGTTGCCTGCTCCTCTCCTCTCCTCCTCTCCTCTCCTCCTCCTCCTGCTCAACCGCGACCCTCGACGCACAGTGTTCTCTGTCGGACCTCAACCACGACCATCCACGCCCAGTGTTCCCTGCCGGACCTCAACCCGCCCAGTGTTCCCTGCCGGACCTCAACCACGACCATCCACGCCCAGTGTTCCCTGCCGGACCTCAACCGCGAGTATCCACGCCAAGTGTTCCCTGCCGGACCCCATGTAGGAAGATATGGGACAAAGAATGTGCAGAAGAAAGTTAGAAAGAATGTCAGAAAGAATGTCAGAAGATATGCCAGAAGATATGCCAGAAGATATGCCAGATAGAAAGCCAGATAATATGCCAGAAGATATGCCAGATAGAATGCCAGATAGAATGCCAGAAGATTTGCCAGATAGAATGCCAGAAAATATGCCAGAAGATATGCCAGATAGATATGCCAGAAGATATGCCAGAAGATATGCCAGAAGATATGCCAGAAGATATGCCAGAATAAATGCCCGAACATCTGCCAGAAGATATGCCAGAACATCTGCCAGAAGATATGCCAGGTAGAATGCCAGAAGATATGCCAGATAGAATGCCAGATCGAATGCCAGAAAATATGTCAGATAGAATGCCAGAAGATTTGCCAGTAACAAAATGTATAAATGTCATGGTGGGGATCACACGAAGTAAAGTAATTTGGTGCATTTTGGAATGTATTCATGTGCAACCCATTGGCAGCAACACAAAAAAAATCACAGGGGCCTGTGCAGATAGCTGGTGGATATCCACGAAAGCCCCATGGTAGAAATTAACCATCTCACGGACACTGTCAACATTGAGCTCAAGGCTTTTGGTGCAAATAGGGTGGCGTTCCACCTCCCCCTCTTCCACATCAATGGCCGCAATTGGCCACTGAAGCCAGGAGAATTGCTTCCTAAAGCGCTTGCGAAGCATTTCACAGCGTTCCAACATGGTTGCAAGCTCAGGAGCCTCATCATCACTCATGATTGCAATCCGGGAAAATGACTGCACTACAAACAACCCTTCTTGAGAAAAATGCAGCGCAATTCCAAGAGTCAACCCGTCAAGGGAGGCCACAAAACTGTTCACCATGTCCCAATCAAGTTCTTCCTGCCTGTGCAGGACAAAAGGGCTTAAGCTTGAAGCAGGCCGGGGAGACATGCAGCGCAGAGTAGGAAAGTGCCAGTCCTTGGCAGGCCATTGGTTTGAAGTTTGAAAGCCACAAAAAATATACAAAAAATCATCTCTTGTCCATATACTTATGTTTCCTTTTGATCTTTTGGGTAATGCGCAGCTGATAAAAAAAATGCTGCTAAGATTCATCACGAGTTTGCCAAATCTCTTCAGCCCAAGTTCCTGCATGAAAACGAAACCCATGGAGCATTGTTTTCATGTGTCCGAACGAAACTGTCGGGGTCCTTTGCCCCAGCTGGAGGCCAATGATGGCAGTGAGCGCCATGGCAAGCTTAGCTGCAGGGATCCGCTTTGATCGGGTTTTATGAAACATATCCTGATGTATATATAAATGTGTTTACTGTATGCATATGTAAATATAAATATACAGATAGAGATATAGATATATAGATATAGATAAATAAATATAGATATATAGATATAGATATAGAGATATAGTATAGATATAGATATATATATATATATGGGATGGATCCCCAAAAAAATAGTGGTGTCTCACCTGTCACCACCAAATGCGTCATGGTGCAGCCAGAAATGGCCTCGAGATTGCGCAGGTGGAATGGGAAAGGTGTTGGTGAGGTATAAAAGTGTATAATATAATGATTTTATTGCTATAAACAAATGGAATTACTGTAATATATCTGTATATCACATATATGCCAAAGTAGCCTATTTTAGGAGTAGAAACCTGAAAGTCGCTAGATAAATGGTCACTGGCCCAAAGTAGCCTGAAACTTTAGGCTACTACGGCTTTGCAGGTATCCAGATTGGAAAAGCGGATATTTGACATTATTAGCGTTGAGAAACTTATACCTTACTTGTAGTGAGTTGAGCGATGCTAAACAATTAGGTTCTACGGGTGCTTACAACATCATTAAGAAAATCCCCATTAACGCCCCTTTCGGTTCAGTCATCTATGACAACGAAATAATAAGCGTAGATTACATCAATGTTTCAAACAGAGTGTTGAGAACACTACACTTCAAATTAGTCAATAGTTATGGTAATGTGGTTGATTTGAACAATGTGAATTGTTCATTCTCCCTGACCTTCATTGAGGACGATTGATGTAAAAATTTCATTGATTAACTCACTGGGTATTCTATATAATTCATCTTGACGATGGATTATAGGATTATCACCCCATTCACTCTTTTTACCCGACGGCATCCGTTGGGCTGTTTCTTTATGTTTGTTGTTGATGATGTTTCCACAGTCTTTTTTACATAGTGGTCTCGGTTTCCAAGTTTTTAGGTTCGTCCATATCCTCGTTCTTTTTCTGTATGGAAAGCCGTATTTACAATAATCAAGGTCAAAGTAATCAAAGTCTTTCATAAATTCCTGATGTTTCAATAAGCCAGTCTGTGGATTTTCTATGAACCATACCGAAGGGTTGAAGTAGTTGATTATTTCAATGGTTTTCTTTACGATGCTGTTGGCATAATCTATTTTTCTAACACCAGTGGTTTTAGCAATGCTATATTCAACACAAGGGGGAGAAGCCCAAATGATATTAAACTCATTTTGTTTGAAAACTTTGTAGTTCCAATTAAGGATGTCAGTATTGATGTTGGCATCCTTCAAGTCCAACGAGACAACATCATAACCTAACTCTTTGGCGACTTTCCCTACACTGCCCGTTCCAGAAAACAGTTCAAGTAATTTCATATTATAAATCTATAGATTTAAAATATGAAACTACGACAGCAACACATAGGAGTTGTTGGTTGGGTCTTTATTGATTTTGTAGTATGTTAAAGTCTCTTCTTTGGGTTGTGTGATTTTACCCGTTGTAATCCACTCAAAGTATTGTTTCCTTTTATCTTCCCACGAACCGACGGGTCTGCCTATCTGCTTCTTTTCAAAGGCTTTGTTTATTCTTTCTTTGTCTTTGTCGTTGGTATTTTCTTTGTTCTCTTCCTTCTTGTTGTTCAGGTTATATTCTATGTTCTTAACAGTGTTCATTATGGTTATGAGGTTCTTATTCATTTTGCTCACCTTGTTCTTCAGTTCTTCCAGTTCTGATTGCTTTACGGGGTTGTCGCTCTCAACATCCACCATACTATTATATATATTTATATATATATATAATTATTTATTTAGATATATATTTATTTAGATATTTATTTATCAGTTTGCTTTCACGCAAAATCTACTCTTTACACCATTTTGGGAGAAACTTTTTAATCCATATCATTCATTGACTTTCTACCGCTACTTCTTGGAGTGCTCATTACATCGCTTATCATCTTGTTAGTGCTCTCTACTTTCTTATCTTCGGGTGTGATTTGTCTGTTCCAACTGAACGAGATACTGTGGTCTTCGCTGTCCAACTTTATATCCCCGTTGTCATCTCTACTTACATTCATCGTTTTGTCGTTTTTGGTAATTTTGAAGGAGCAAGGATTACAAGAACACTTTATCCCTTTCGGATTGATAATAATTTCGTTTCTCAATTGTAATTTACCCTTACAAATGGGACAATCAAAGGTAATGAATTTACTTGACAGTTTTTGTTCCTCGTTCAGATTGACAACAGCGGGTTCTTCATCTTCAAGTTCAAAGTCCTCGGGGATTGGTTGTTTTTTGATTGGGTTAGTTTTCTTTTTCGTCATCTATTTTATATTTGAGAAAATTTAAAACAATTTTAATCAGTTCCAATGTGTGCCTACAGCATCTCTTCACCCTGTTGTCGGTGATGACTAGATATTTCGTG